ATTTCCTCTCATCGTCGTCCGATTATGTTGCTATCAGCAAAAATGGTTCATCCTGCGCTTCGAGTTCATAAAGTTTAATGTATTGAAATTTATCAATCCATTCATCAGACGAAATTTTTTCGGCTTTCACACAGGCTACCCATTCTGCTCGCGGTTCTAACCGCTTTTGGGTCAAACTAACTACTGTCACTTCCAAAAATGACGGCTGAGTCTCAACGAGCTTCCTTTGAATTCAAATGCGTATACTCCATGATAAGTGGTCATAAATGGATATGTGTGTCCTCAGAAATAGGGGATGATTAAGAGTGGTAACTGTTTCGTATGCGGTTAGTTCATGAGGAACAGTTTATAGATTGTATAACAGTATTTATTTCATTAATAGTAAACAATAGATCTCATGTCAAAAAGGAATGTTGAGAAATCGTAAAACACGCATTGAGGTTGATAATGTTTGAATGCATTGAATAACAAACAGAAGTGCTGTGAAGACAATGATATAATGAAAGCTTTGACAATTATGCTACGTTATTCGAGCCTAACATGCTGCGAAAGACTTTTCATTGTGTGCTGACATTGCACTTTGTGGCACCATATTAGTAGTCAAGGAACAAAAGTCATCAAAGAAATTTACATAGGGAGCTTCACCTTGGTAGTATTCAGGGAATGACAGCCCCAGATTACGATGAGGGCGGAGAAGAGCAAGCAGCAAACGGATATAGAGACTATTGAAGAGACGAACCACGTTTCCGACATGCACACCAGGTCTACGTCCGTCGCACTAAATAAGGTTGCCTTCGCTATCATATGAAGAAGTTACCAATGGAAGACTTTAAGCTTCCTCACAGTAATATTTTCAACTTTTTTAGAAATCAGTAAAGTGCTAACAACCCTCTTTCTCCTCTTCGAGGTGCTGTTGATTTTTCTAAGAAAAAAAAAACAAAACAAACCTGAGAAGCGTTCGATTGTTCGACTCAAATTCCTCTTCCTCGCCTTTGGCAAGCACACGGATGATGGCTGACAAGGTCTCTTCAGTCTGCCCTTCTGTCGTTGGCGTCGAACGCTTCTTTCGTCCGTGTGACATGAACAGCTCATTGGTACCAGAATCCAAGCAGTTCGACTGAATACAACTCGTGAAAATATCTTTTTTGTAAAAAGTTCTTCCAGTTCTACAAAAATCTTCTTAAAAACATGCTTGATCAAAATCTCAACTTACCACCGGGCATCCGTTAGGTCCAGCACAGAACATTATGGAGCAGATGATTTGGACATCATAAGAGCCATCCAAACGGAATGCCCGCAGGTCACTCTTCAATCGGTTCTTGTCGAAATCTTGCTCCACTGGTCCGACTAAGGCAGGATAACGAGGGCATCTGCAATATAAGTGAGCGTAAACTGATACTTCGTTTTCAATATAGAGCGTGATTACCCATTCTCGATGAGAGTGAACGGTACGCTGTCACCAAACCCTCCCACCCGAGTGGCTGTGCACTCTGTAATCATCATGTTGTGAGGTCCAGCTTGTTCAGATGTGATAACTAGCATCAGCGGGTCTCCAATTGAAGCCTGTAAGTCGAATTTATCCTATACTGATTTCTTGTCTTTTCACTCCTTAAAACCATTGATTTTCAAATGCCTTAAAAAGAGGAACGATCAAACCTTGTGAAGAGGTTCCTCGAGTTGATTGAGAATGGTGAGTTCAGCGGTGACTGGTGGAGGGGTTGCCACTTCCAAGACCGTGGTGTTTTGTGAGCTACACCATATATTAACTCATATGAAAGTTTTCGACTAAAAAAGCTCAAGCGACTTCTTACCTGGCCTCGTAAATCGTAGTAACAACTACGGAGCCTTCCTTGGTCATTTTATCCATGGAGACGTCGCAAGAAACTCGGTAGAATCGATCCCACTCCGTGGTAACCTAGATAGATTTATTTCGGTAAAGACGATTGAACAGTTGCGCTTGTTGGATCACTGTCGAAGCCGCCGCAGCTCTACCTTTATTAGGTTGTTTACCTGAGTCGTAATGTATGTGTACTACTATATTTTCAGCTACCCTACTTTTTCGTCTTCGGTACTGGTTTGATCTCCAACCCCACGCAGGTATATCTTTTACTTTTCGTATAGTGTTGATCCTGGATGTGAGGTGGCCTGCTTTGACTATCGCAAAATTTCCACAACCGTCACAGCAGCGGAACTTCAATTTGTCCTTTCTTTTTTTTGTTAGATGTTGATCCATCTTTTGTTTTCCGTATGCACACACAGTAAAGATTTTTTTTCGAGCACTGAGGGCTGAAAACGATCAGGGTCACATACCTGGTGGGGAAGGACGCCATCGAGTGAGACGACGACGAGCGCTTCCATCCTTCCATCCTAAATACAGTAATCAGAAAGTGTATTGAAGGCATCTCATTGTCAACAAGCTAGTGCACTGACCCTTATGACAGTTCCACAGTCGGATGATACGGTTGGTGGCGGGAACGTAATGCTGATTTGTTTCGCGTTCTCGACGACCTCAATTAAAAACAATTAAATAGGCAATTGTGCGTGACATTATTGGAGTGAAGAATAAAGTCTTTATTGTCAATCAATCTCGTTTTGGGATGCGCTCCGCCTTCGACTTTCATTCAGGATCGTAGTGGA